ACTAAAGAGCCTCTTGATGAAAGTGAAAGATGAGAGTGAAAAAATGGGCTTAAACCTCAAGATTCAGAAAACTAAGATCATGGTATCTGGTCCCATCACTTCATGGCAAATAGATGGGGAAACAGTGGAAACAGTGACAGACTTTATTTTTGGGGGCTCCAAAATCACTGTAGATGGTGACTGTAGCCATGAAATTAAAAGACGCTTGCTCCTTGGAAGGAACGTTATGACCAACCTAGACAGCATATTAAAAAGAAGAGACATTACTTTGCCAACAAAGGTCCATCTAGTCAAGGCTACAGTTTTTCCAGTAGTCAGGTATGGATGTGAGAGTTCGACTGTGAAGAAAGCTGAGTGCTGAAGAATTGATTCCTTATGAACTGTGGTGTTGGAGAAGACTCTTGAGAGTCCCTGGGATTGCAAGGAGATTAGTCCTGGGTGTTCATTGAAAGGACTGATGTTGAAGCTGAAACTCCAATACTTTGGCCACCTGATGTGAAGAGCTGACTCATTGGAAAAGACCCTGATGCCGGAGGGATTGGGGGCAGGAGGAGAAGGGGGCAACAGAGGATGAGATGGTTGGATGGCATCACCAACTCAATGGAGATGAGTTTGGGTCAACTCCGGGAGTTGGTGTTGGACGGGGAGACCTGGCATGCTGCGGTTCATGGGGTCACAAAGAGTCAGACATGACTGAGTGACTGAACTGAAACCAAAACATACTCTTCAGGCCACACATGTTATTAAGCTGAATGTTGCCCATGGCCTCTCAGATATAATTTCTGGGTTGGGGAAGGACAAGTCCTATAGGCCTGCCAAGAAGCCAGTGATATGTGAGGTAACTGAGAGGGCAGTTTTTAAATAACTGTGATCTCTTATTTTTAAGATTAAGGCCTTATTGTATCTTAGGAACTGTATTTTGTTTACATTATTTAAGCCATGTAATAATCTTTGGAAAACCAATTCATTACATATGTAAAAGGCAGGGAGTTCAGCAAATATTTTCCTTTTATTTACATTATAAGTAAACCATGTAAGTTTTTCTTAGTCGCTTGAGAATATATTTAGCATCTTACATTATAGGTCAGTCTCTATACTTGGCAATACAAATGCATTATATGAAATTGAAAATGTTGAATTATACCAGAAATTCTGTCAGCTGGTTAAGTTCCATTCTGAGTGTAGTGAGATGTCTTAGTGAGTAGGCTATGATTTTCTCATAAGCGTGTGAGTAATTAAGGTATTAGGAACAAATGTGAAAGAAATTCATCTTTCCTACTTTCTGGGAAGTCTGTGCTTTAAAACGGAGGTTGTACCACCTTATGGATTAGAGATATTTGTCTTTACCCTTGGTCACATAGCAAATGAAAAAGATTAATCTGTCTTTTGACATCAAAAAGAGTGGTGATGACTATCAAAGTTCTGGGCTTTGGGGAATTGCTTAATCAATGCTTGAGTGAATATATTTGCCAATTTAATGTATAAGATACTCATATACTATACAGTACAGTATCCTTGACTATATTTTGAAATATTTTGAGCCCTTTCAATCAATTTAGTTTTTGGTGGGTTCAATGTGTATGAGGTAATGTTTTGAGCAGAGATAAACACCTGAAACCCCACTTGATTTGTTTTTTGACTCACATAAGTGTGTCTAATCAGTCATGTACTTTTGCCCCATCCATCTTAAGAGACATGGGTATGAGACAAATAAGAAAACGGCAGTCGTCCTTAATAATAGCATTTACTGTTCACTAGCTTTTAACAGGAGAAGGCAATGGCACCCCCTCCAATACTCTTGCTTGGAAAATCCCATGGACGGAGGAGACTGGTAGGCTACAGTCCATGGGGTCACTAAGAGTAGGACACGACTGAGCGACTTCACTTTCACTTTTCATTTTCATGCATTGGAGAAGGAAATGACAATCCACTTCAGTGTTCTTGCCTGGAGAATCCCAGGGATGGGGGAGCCTGGTGGGCTGCCATCTATGGGGTCGCACAGAGTCGGACATGATTGAAGCGACTTAGCAGCAGCAGCAGCTTTTAACAAAGCTAAAATTAGATAAGTTTGTACAGCTGTAGTGTAAGCATTGGAAAAAAAATCAATAAAACAAAAAATTTTGTTGCTGTCAAATCTACATGTTAATTTTATCTCCTGAAATTCTATTCTATTTTAATACGAAATTAAAAACACATGTATTCTACTTTTTCTTAATAAAGTATTCTCCTTGACCATCTCTATAGTTCATTAGAATTATACATTAACCAGAAAAGGAAGAGAAATTAAATAGTATAGTCTTGAGTAACTAGCAGGTAGAATTACCTGATTACCTACTTAAGATTGTACTAAAAATATGTAGACAAATAGAGATCAACAGTTAGTAGTTACATGTTTTAACTTGCATTTTCCTATCTCTTTTAAGAAGAACCAGATACGAGTATTTTCTGACTTTGTTCACAGGGGCAAGTTTATCCTAGGTTTTACCATGTTTTAGTGAATCAAGGTTGTAATACATGAACCCAGCTATGCAGTGTCAGAATCTCTTGAGATAGATTTTCCTGCTCTTCACTAGAATGAATTTAAAACTAGAAATAGGAAATCATAAGAAATTATTTCCATGTGTATTTACGTCCTTTTTTTAATAGAGTTGAGGCCACGGAAGATCTACTTAAGCTTTCCTGGCTTCCTGTTAGTGTCCTGCTTGTATCATTACACTTAGTCTGCACATTTTTCAATTCATGGTTTCCAATAGCATTTTAATGGTGTCTTTTTTGCTGGTCATCTGGAGGACATTGATTCCGTTGTTCCAATAACAGATGAAATATAGTTTGTAGTTGTTTTGGGGACTAAAAGAAACTCATTACAGCTTCCTGTTCCTCTGTGTGTTGCCAAAAATGTTATTGTTGGTCAGGTCTGGAGATATCTTCTGAATCTGTGACTAGTTTTTAGATTTTCACAATAGCACATTTCGTAAATACTGCAAAATTTGCTGCAAGAGTTGGTCTTTAAATAATCAGGGCTCTCTATCTCTGTTCCAGAAACAGAGAAACAAACAAAATGAACCTTTTGGAGTGAGTAATTCTTACAGATTTCTAAGGGAAATTCCAGATGTACAACCTTTTTTATGTGCTAAGGAATATAAAAGGAACACTTGGCTATTCTAAAGGTTAAAATTCTAAATGAAACAGTCAAAAATTGTGAAGTAAAAAGGGAAATATTTAAAGAAAACTTACGGTTCTCTAAACCTTTGCTATTCAGAATGTGACCTGCTGGCCTGCAATTTCAACATCACCTGGATGTCTGAAGTGGTAAAACCTTCTCTTTATTCCAGACCTTCAAAATCAGAATCTGTATCTTAACAAGATCATGGGCGATTTCTGTGAACATTCAAGTCCTAGAAGCATATAGTTTGTTTATATGCAATCAACACACTAATTTCAAACATCACTAGATGGTATTTTTATAAAGCATTGATGTTTACAGAGGCAAATGCTTTATAAATACAGTCTGAATTATTTCTCTTTCAATCTGCATCACAGGTAAATTATCTCTCCAATATGGCCAATTTAATTTTTAATTGCTATTGTAAGCTTAAAGATAGATACACTTAGAGAACATAAAATGAAATCAAACCCTAAGGTCACATTTGAAAAACCAAAATACCTGAAAACATGCTATGAAATATCCATGTGTGTTTAAATGTATGAATCTTCAAAATTACCCATTTTTTTTATTACTTGAGTTTTTGACAGAATAGTTACTTTTGACTTATTTGACTGTAAAAATGCCACTGGGTAAGGAAGCATATGTTTTCCTCTTCTCAAAATTCAAACTGGCTGAATGAATTAAACTCAAACCTAGGAAAATAATTTACCTTCAGGCTGCGCCTTTCTCATCATAGTGACAACCAGAGTTTAAGAGTGACATGAGTGGTATTTATGGACACCTGTAATCATAAGTTTTAATAAGGATGTTTTCTTTGGTAGCAGTCACAGTTGGTCGTTATGTCAGAATTGGTGGTAAAAGTAATCACTGATATTTGCGCTATTATTTGGATACCTAATGATCTGATGGTACAGAATTATTTTCTTGAATATTCTCATTTTATTTTACCTCCTTTCCTCTGTAAATTCTCCCCTCCCTCCTCCTTCCCCATCTCCTTCTCCTTTCTCCCTCCTCCACCCTAGTAAGTATTTGAGTGCCTATTGTGTGTGTGGCTTTGTTTCAGACTGTAGAAAGATTAAAAAGGAACCAAAGGCTTGACTCTGGTCTTCCAGAATCTTCTAAGTTCCTAGTAATTTCCTGGGATAAACCCCCTTATTGCCATATCCTATCTTAGTGATTTTCTTGTCGTCATTATGATCTCAGGGTCAGTTACTTCTATTTTTCACTTTAGTTTCTTTGTTCTCTTTCCATATTACCCCTGTTTCTTTATAAGTAGATCAGTTACTCTGGAAACATTACTGTTTTGGGTGTGGTGACCACCACAATTTATGTATGAGTCTTCAAATTTGAGTTCGTGAAACCAAGATCACACATCACCCTTGTAATAATCTTCATGCTTTTTTTTTCTAGACATACTGTACTTTAACTGAGATGTTTTCTTATGAAACAGGTTTTACTTGTTCAGTGCATTTTAAATTTTAACTTAGGTGTATTTAGCAAAAAAACATGTTTGTGTTAACCGTAACATGCTCATTTGGTCCTAAAATAGAGAAGTAGCATTCAACTCTATAACAAAGTTTTCCAAACCCCATAAATTCTGGGGGAAAAAAATCAAGACAAATTAATATAAATTAAAAAATTACTCTTTAAAATCTAGCTTTTAGGTCTATAGTAGGTTGCCACTAAAGAGAAGGTGGTAAATTTTTGCCCTTCATCTCATGTCCCAGAGTGAAAGATTCCAACTTAAATTCCAGTGGTGGGGCACACAAATTAATTGATAACAGACAGAGTAACAGGAAGAAAAGTTTATTATGTGTGTGGTAGTACTCAGTAATTAGCAGAATAGCCAGGGCAGAGGTTTATGTAACAGTTTAACCAAAACCAGGGTGAGGGGTGTGGGTGTGGTTAGCTCTTCAATGTGAAAGCCCAGAAGTTTCCCTTGGGCAGTCTGCTTGGAAAAAGGCTGGAAGCTGCCCCAGAAGGGGGTTAAAGTGAAAAAGTGAAGTTGCTCAGTTGTATCCGTCTCTTTGCAACCCCATAGACTGTAGCCCACCAGGCTCCTCCATCCATGGAATTTTCCAGGCAAGATTGCTGGAGTGGGTTGCCATTTCCTTAAAGGCACTGTATATTGGGAAGGCTTTCCTGTCATCACATAAGAACATTTTAGATAAGATTTCTTTTTTCTGACCTCTTCAACAGCTTTTCCAACAGTTTTTGGAAAAAACTTCAAAGACTTATGCTTTGCATTTGTAATATGCATTAATGCGCCACTGATTCATAGGAGAGTCGCATTTAATGCTGCAGAAATTCCAAACAGCTTTTGTCCCTTTAATAGAAGCACCTAGATCCCAAACAGGATTTTATTGTCATTTTCTTTAAATGAAAATGTCATTTTCTTCAGGCAAAACAGGGTATTTCACTAAAACATGTACCTTTGACCCATTTTATCTAAAAGTTGCTTAAACTGTAGATTTCTAGATTAGTTTTATTGTAAATTATCTGACAACAGTGATAATGCTAAAATCAGTGCAGTGTTTGGAAAGTGAAATTGGAATAACTTGGAAGTAACTTGTGAGCTTTTTATGTTTAAGAGCAACAGATCATGAATGTTCTAAGTATATTTTTTTTCTTTGCTTAAGTTTCATGACTTAAAAAATATACAGTTTAAAAATCAAGTGATTGGTTATAAGATTACTACCAAATATTGTTGTTCTCTTCTTACTTTTGATGTCTGATTTGGAATCTAAATCTCCAGGATTCTATATCAATAAATTTTCTAAGAGTTAATCAAGATTAAACTCTTTCTTCTTCCTCCCTCCCTCCCTTCCTTCCTTTCTGTCTTTTTTTTTTTTTTTTTAATAAAGGTGCCTTCTTTATTGGAGTAAAATTCTGAAAAAGTCACAAGTGGTTAACATTAACAAGAAATGATGACCACAGGTTTCCATCTGAAACCATTATCAAGTGCATGGAGGCACACCAGTGTACCCTTATACTGGTACGGTGTTACAGTGGACTGCTGGAGAGGGGAGACAATTCTGCTACTCTTACTTCCTCCTTTAAAACACTCCCTCTATAAGCCTGGCCACAGGACTTGGAACTGGGCTTCTCCACTGATAGTGACAAAAAGTCCCTTGTCCCCTATTATGAGTCATTTGCCTTTTAACTCCAGTATATGATTTCATTCTGTGGAACCTAGAAAGTTTTCTTGGGTTCCAAGAGTCCCTTTATTTAAAAATGCAAATTCTCATGAGATGGCTTAGTTATCACTACTGCCTTAGTAGGATACAGTTGACAGCAACAGGATACATGGTACTTGGAACAGACTGAACAGTTGGGAGGTCACCCAAAGTGTTGGAAAGGTGGTGGATGATAACATGGGCTTCCCCTGTGGCTCAGCTGGTAAAGAACCTGCCTGTAATGTAGGAGACCTGGGTTCAATCCCTGGGTTTGGAAGATCCCCTGGAGAAGGGAAAGGCTACCCACTCCAGTATTCTGGCCTGGAGAATTCCATGAACTGTATAGTCCATGGGGTCCCAAAGAGTCAGACACCACTGAGTGACTTTCACTTTACTGTGATTTGGACTTCCCTGGTGGCTCAGATGGTAAAGCGTCTGCCTACAATGCGGGAGACCTGAGTTCAATTCCTGGGTTGGGAAGATCTCCTGGAGAAGGAAATGGCAACCCACTCCAGTACTCTTGCCTGGAAAACCCCATGGACAGAGAAGCCTGGTAGACTACAGTCCATGGGGTCACAAAGAGTCAGGCATGACTGGGTGACCTTACTTTAACTCTTTATGATATTGAAGAGGACCCTTTTGTATTTGATAATGTCTTAGAAATCATTTCATGGGACTCTTCTGGCATGGAACTGATGTCATAGGTACATGGGTCATACTGCTTAGGATAATAATATGTGCCCAGCACCTAGGGACACCATAGACCTACTATAAGGATATTGTGGTTTATCAAGGCCTTCATTTGGGGAGTTTCCTGGGTCTGTTGACTGTTGTCCTGTCCTTGTGCCAGAACCAGATGTAGCTCTGAATTATCTGATCAGTTTAATCTTAAAAAAGATTAAGCAGATACCTGCCTTTTGCTACCTTCACAGATCTCCCCACCCCTGCCAACTCTCCACTCCTGCTTTTCAGGGGGTGTCTGTGTCTCAATGCTACAATTAAAAAATGTTAAGATATAGTACATCTGCTTGTATGGATTCCTGAGTCTCAAAAAGTTCCCAGCAATTAAAATTATATATATATATATATATGTATGTATTAATATTTACAAAAGTTCTTGAAGTATTGTTATAGCTTAGATTCCTCAGACTTTGAGATGCAAGAGGTTTATTAACACACTATTGATGGGGATTTTTGCAAAAACTAACAACTATGGCTGGCAATTTTTTATGTAAGTGAACATTGAAACACTCTGGTCAAATGTTTGGGTAACAAAGACTTACTAATACATTTCTGGTCAATAAATTGTTAGGGATTAACACCTGTGTGGGGGGGGAAGGAGGTGAAACTAAGATTTGGTAGAAGAGGAAGTGAAACTGTGAAGGGGACCTGGTAAAGCCTTGGCCAATCTGGTGAGCACCTCTGGAGAGAGCATTGTCTGTCAGGGTCTTGGACCAAAATGCCTAACTTAGAGGATACAGGCTGGCCCAGGTAGCATAAGACTGTAAACATGGTGGCTGTCTGCAGTTAAAGCTGATTCTGAAAGAGCTGACTGCACAAGCCTTGCATTTCATGATGCCTATTCACTACCTGATATCTCTTCAAATGATTGAATAGTAACTTTTTAGTTTTCTTTATCATTTACTATACTGGTTTATTTCCCAGTGTGTTAGAGCTTATAACTGCAACCATTTGAGTGTTGTATAATGATTAAGTGTAGGGGTTTGGCACTCTACCGTGAAGAAGGAATTCATAGGGCCTGGACTCCATCTCAGGTCTGTCCATGCTGATCGGGCTAGGCCGCCTCTCCAATGGACTCTGAACTCTGTGCTTAGGCCTGTGGGAATGACAATGGAAGGATAAGACCCCTCTGGGCAGGGGAATCTTGAAGATCATATCCAGGTTACTCATTGCCTAAGAGAAAACAGACACTAATCACCCCTGCCTCCAGACAGTATCTATCGAATGTAACCACAGGCTTAGTGATTATTAACTGTTTGAACACATAACAAGTGAATGATGGGGTTATTGTGATTGTATTTACCCTTCCTTTGTAAGCCTCAAGGGATTTGGGCTGGTAGGTTTGGATGCATCCGGTATAAAAGATTTTCACAAATGCTGGTAGGGGCCCTTGGCTAAGAGGAGACTCTGCCTTGGGCCCGCCGGTGTAATAAACTGCACTCCACTATCTGCATTGTCCTTCTGAGTGAGTTTGTTTCCCGGAAAGCATGGCTATAACAACTGAACATAGTATTGGAAGTCCTAGTTAGAGTAATTAGGCAAGAAAGAAAAATAAAATGTATACAGATTGGAAAGGAAGACGTAAAACTGTCACTATTTGCAGAGGACATAATTTTATACATTAAAAAGCCCTAAAGGCTCCACCAAAAACTACTGGCAATAACAAATAAAATTTTATTAAATTGGAGGATACAAAATCAGCATACAAATTTATATAGTGTTTCTATATGCTAACAGTGAGCTAGCAGAAAGAAAAATTAAGAAAATCCCACTCGTGATCACAGCAAAAAGAATAAAATACCCAGGAATAAATTTAACCAAGAAGTTAAAAGACCTATGTACTGAAAACTAAGGACATTATTGAAAGAAATTAAGGAAGACACAAATAAATAGATTATTCTCTGCTCATAGATTGGAAGAAATAATGTTACTAAAATGTCCATATTACCTAAAGCAGTCCACAGATTCAGTGGAAGCCCTATCAAAATCCAAATGACATTTTTTTCACAGAAATAGAATAAAAAGTTCTAAAATTTATATGGAACCACAGAAGGCCCCAAATAGTCAAACATTTCTGAGGAAAAAGAACAACGCTGGAGATGTCACATTCCCTGATTTCAAACTACATGATAAGGCTATAGTAATCAAAACAGCATGGTATCAGCAGAAAAACAAACATTTAGATCAATGAAATAATTGAGAGCCCAGAAATAAATGCACACATATATTGACAATTAAATTACAACAAAGAAGCAAAGAACATACAATGGAAAAAGAATCTGGTCAGTAAATAGTACTGGAAAAACAACCACATGGAAAAAATGAAACTAGGACCACTATCTTACAGCATACACAAGAATCAACACAAAATGGCTTAAGACCTTGTAAGACCTAAAAACATAAAACTCGGAAGAAAACATTGTATGCTTTCTGCCATTGCTTTTAGCAAGATCTTTCTAGATAGGTCTCCTTAAGCAAGGGAAACAAAAACAAAAATAAGCAAATAGGACAAAATCAAACCATAAAGCTTCTGCACAGCAAAGGAAACTATCACAAAATTGAAAGACAATATTCCAAACATGAAAAGATATTTGCAAGTCATATATCCAATAAGGGGTGAATATAAGAAACATATAAAGAACTCATACAACTCAACAATGACAAAAACAAATAACCCAACTTAAACAATGGACAGAGGAGTTGAATAGGCATTTTTCTCCAAAGAAGACATATAGTTGGTGAACAAGCACATGAAAAGACATTCAGCATGATTAATTATTGAAAGTGAAAGTGAAGTTGCTCAGTGGTGTCCAACTTTTTGCGGCCCCATGGACTGTAGCCTACCAGGCTCCTCTGTCCATGGGATTTTCAGGGAAGTGCAAATCAAAGTTGTAGTGTAACATTACCTCTAGCCTGTTAAAAAGGATGTTATCAAAAAGGCAAGAAATAACAAATTTTGGCAAGAATGTGGGAAAAAGAGAACATTTGTTCACTGCTGGTAGGAATGCAAATTACTGCAGCTACTGTGGAAAATAGTATGGAGAGTCCTCCAAAAAAAAAAAAAAAAAAACAACTAGAATAATCTACCAAATGATCCAGCTATCCCACTTATGCCTATTTATTCAAAGAATACAAAATTATTAATTCAGAAAATATATCCACAACTGTGATCATTGCTGTGTTATTTACAATAGCCAAGATTTGCAAGCAAACCTGGTGCCCATCAACCAATGAATGGATAAGATATAGTATATTATATATATACATAATGGGATACTACTCAGCCCTAAAAAGAAACCTTTCCATTTTCAGCAACATGGATGAACCTTGAGAATATTATGCTGTGAAATAAACGAGACAAATACTATATTTTATACATATGTGGAATATAATAAATATATAACAAACTAGATGAGAAAAGCACTCACCTGTAGATACAGAGAACAGAGTAGTGTTTACTAAGGAGAAGAAGCTGAAGGAGGGGGAGAGTAAATGGGTAAAGAGGGTCAACTGTATAGTGATGGCAACTAAATGTTTGGTGGTGAGTACACCATAGTGTACACAGAGGTAGCAATATAATGTACACACGAGGCAGTGTATAAACCAGCGTTATCTCAAAAAAAAAAAAATTAAGAAAGTAGGCGCTTGGTTCAGATTCTCTGTCTCCACTTATTAGCTGTAGAAGTAGGTTTCTTAACCTCTCTAAACACCAGCCTCCCCATTTTTGGGTCTTTGGATGATTAAATGAGTTCATGAAAATGTATTGGCTTTTGTATCTGGCATGTTATAATGTGCCCAGTAAGTGTTACTTGTTATTAATAGTAAGTTTTTATCATCCTGATTCTCTGCCCTTACTTGATCCGGAATTTAGACCCTAGGAAAATTTCCAAATGCCCTGTTCAGTATGGGAGGTAGAAACCAACTCCCAAAATATATCTGCCTATTAGGCATCATGGTGACAGAACAAAAACTAAGTTAAAATAATTAAATAAAAGCAAGGCAAGGGGTGAGAGAAGACACCATCTGCCGGCTCTCCGTGAGTCACTAGGAGGGGTTGGAGGATAATGAAGGCCGTCACATTCTGGTCATGGATGCGTCCTTCTGCTTGGCTGGTGTTATCGCCTTTCTCTGAATAAAAATAGCCCATGCATCCTTTACCACAGCTCAGTAAACACGGATTATGTGATAAAAATAAAAGGACGCACAACAAAAATCTTTGGGGAGGTTTGCTGCAATTTATTTTGTTTCTTAGTGTACCAGGGAATTTCAGTAGAAGCAACAATTTAATCAACAGCCGGGCATTCGATTTTTGGCTGTTTATAGTCAGTCTTATACTATTTTCCTAGCAGGACTGTCGTACAAAATGCTTATCACGAAACCATATTTCGACTTAAGGCAGCGTGGCAGAGGGAGTGAAGCACTGCGCGTGTCACGAAGCCTCAGATTGGGGTTTGGTCTCTTCTACCTGTGAAGACGCTGGGTGTTTTCCAAGCCTTGGTTTCTTTCAACCAAATGGTGATGTCAGTCAATCTTGTAAAATTTAATTGAGATTGTATGAGAGACGAGTAATAAAAATGCTCTGTAAATATTAGCTGATCATGATTGGAAAGCTACTTTTGAAGGACAGTTTCACATTGTGATTTTTGAGATTAAACTGAGTGGCTACCGGTTCATAGCCATGCAAAATTACTAAACCTGGGGGAATCTACCTGGGGAAATGACTTGAATTTTGGTGGCTCAGTTTTCTTGTTTGTATATACTGACCTCAGAAAGCTGTTACGAGGACTCAGTGAGATGATGCAGGCCAGATGCTCTGAGAACAGAATCTGGCTCTGCTTATTTGGCTGCTATTGTTATGATTTTATTACTGAAGCCAATAGGAGGTATTTCTTTGTGGTTTGCACTGTTAAAAGTAGTACTTTGGGGGGCGATTCTGGAATGGCTTACTAATATTTTCATTTTAAATCTGGAGTTATATAGTGACACCAATTTATAGCTGGCTTTCGAGAGAGATTGCAATAACAGAAAAATAGAAGAAAAGGAAGAGGCCTTTGAAAAGGGGAGAGTAGGAGAGTAGATCTAGGTTTTGTCTTGGTTTTTAAAGTTATTTCTATCATCCAATTGATTTCAACTTCTAAAAAGCACGGATTACAAGAGGTATATAGTATAATGTAGAAGGAAACAACAGGTGTGGAGGTTCGGAGCTTGAGGTTATAGTTCGTCCTCTGCCACCGACAGCTGTATATGGACACTGAATGAATATTTCATGTTACTGGCCCCAAAGAGGTGGGTAGACAAGATCACAGCTCCTGGCGCTTGGCTGTTAGAATCTCTGAGAGTGCTGTGGAGAAATGATGTATCAGGTTCCATCAGGTTCACCTGGGGTCAATTGAATTATAATCTCTCTGGGGAAGAACCAGTCTCCAGGCTCACCAGGGGTTTTTGGTATACAGAGAGGCTCACCGACACCTGACTCAGTGACCACGGGGGTCTCTTCAACTCTGAAGTCTCATAGATCTATACATCTCTCTTTTGTCCAGTCATGCATAAAGGGTAAAAGCTGCTTCTTAAAGTGAAAACAGAGCAGTAGCTGGAGAAGGTCAAGGAATTTGATTTAAACTATTAGCTTCTGGAAAAAAGCAAATCATTTCCTCATCCTCACTATTAGCCATCAACTTCTCTCCTTATGAGAGGTGTGACGTCTATTCTTCAACTGTGCAGGCTATATATTGGACGCAGCTTTCCCCTTTTCAGTTTAAACTTACCTGTTTTTCATGCAGAAAGTTCTACCCTTGCAGAAGCTTGTTTCTAATACAGGCAAAGTGCTTCATGCAGCATTTAAAAATCACACATAAGACCTCACCTCTGCATATGGGTAATAAGAAGAGAAAAAAAAAAGTGAGAAACTGTTTTCAGAGAGGGATTTTCTTATCCACTGATTTCAGCACAGAGCATCAGCCTGGAAAAAGCATTTTTGTAGTAGAAACATTCAGTGAAAAACAACAATTTCCATTTATATCGTTAAGATGATGGAAGGAACATATGGCTAGATTAGGAAAGTGAATCTTAGCTATGAGGGTGCATTTGCAGGAGATATTAATTAGGGCTGAGAGTACCTCAAGTACTTGGGAAGCGAATTTGTTTAATAAGCTTCATGGTTGGCAGATGCCATTTCCCCTCCTTTCACCATGACTCCAAACAGGGCAGTTGTGTCTGTGCAGAGCCGGGCACACTTGAGAAGTCACGTGATGTTTGTGCTTTGCTCCATTCATGCCTGAAAGCAGGTTGACAGGACCTTCGCATGAGTAAGATATCTCTTGCAGCAGTACCCACACCCAAGTGAGGGCATCATCGTGCTAAACCAGGATCTGACATCTCAGCTTGATGCATTCAGGGCTTTGCCTTCGAAGAGACCCCCATCCTTTGCTCTGCTTCAGCTGTCTGCTGACGTGCTGTCTCTATTCCTGGAGACATGACCCTGGGGTGTGCTTGAGTGGCGGATACTGCATGCATCCTGATGTGTTTGTGTCAGTCCCTACTGCTTCCTTTGATCAGTTGCTGATAAAATATCTCTAGAGTTTTGCGGAGCTGATGAAAGCCATGGGTCTGGGCTAAGTATTTGGAACTTGATTTTTGGCATTATCATGATGTTACTGTCAGTACATTTGAAAACATGAGTACGAGGCCTTAGACACCTGGAATTGTCTGGTGAATCCTGGCTAGGGCAGCTAATATGTTGAACCCTCAAGCATATACTGTATCACTTTCTTAAGTTCTGAGTCTGTAAAGACTCTCTTGGGACAAATATTTCCTATGAGGTCTCCCACTTGTATAATTACTAGCCTTGAGTTTTAGGGTCCTTGCTACCCTAAGTGAACTCATTTTAAGAAAAATTTTTCAGCTGTTTGAGTGGTCCTTGATAAAGAAGGCAAAGATCAAATGGATATCAAGAAAGAATTTGTTCTCTCATTAAGGTAACATTTGTGGGGTGAATTAGAAAGGTAGGGTCTGTGGACAAGTAGACCAGGGTAGTGATCAAGACTAAGAATTCTGGAGCCAGATGTCCTGGCTTTAAGTCTTATCTCTACTGCTTGCTAGAGAGATAGCAAATTAGAGATACGAAGGGAATATTTCATGCAAAGATGGGCACAATAAAGGACAGGAACAGTATGGACCTAACAGAAGCAGAAGATATTAAGAAGAGGTGGCAAGAATACACAGAAGAACTATACAAAAAAGATCTTTATGACCCATGTAACCATGATGATGTGGTCACTCACCTAGAGTCAGACATCCTGGATTGCAAATGGGCCTTAGGAAGCATCACTATGAACAAAGCTAGTGGAGGTGATGGAATTCCAGTTGAGCTATTTCAAATACTAAAAGATGATCTGTGAATGTGCTGCACTCAATATGTCAGCAAATTTGGGAACTCAGCAGTGGCCACAAGACTGGAAAAGGTCAGTTTTCATTCCAACCTCAAAGAAAGGCAACCCGAAAGAATGCTCAAGCTACTGCACAATTGCGCTCATCTCACAGGCTAGTAAAGTAATGCTCAAAGTTCTCCAAGCCAGGCTTTACCAGTACATGAACCATGAAATTCCAGATGTTCAAGTTGGATTTAGAAAAGGCAGAGGAACTAGAGGTCAAATTGCTGAAATCCGTTGGATCATAGAAAAAGCAAGAGAGTTCTAGAAAAACATCTATTTCTGCTTTATTGACTATGCCAAAGCCTTTGACTGTGTGGATCACAACAAACTGTGGAAGATTCTTAAAGAGATGGGAATACTAGACCACCTGACCTGCCTCTTGAGAAATCTGTATGCCAGTCAGGAAGCAACAGTTAAAACTGGACATGGAACAACAGACTGGCTCCAAATCAGAAAAGAAGTACGTCAAGGCTGTATATTGTCACCCTGCTTGTTTAACTTATATGCAGAGTACATCATGAGAAATGCTGGGCTGGAGGAAGCACAAGCTGGAATCAAGATTGCTGGGAGAAATATCAATAACCTCAGATATGCAGATGACACCACCCTTATGGCAGAAAGTAAAGAAGAACTAAAGAGCCTTTTGAGGAAAGGAAAGTGAAAGAGGAGAGTGAAAAAGCCGGCTTAAAACACAGCATTCAGAGAACTAAGATCATGACATCCAGTCCTATCACTTCATGGAAAATAGATGAGGAAACAGTGGAAACAGTGACAGACTTTATTTTGGGGGGCTCCAAAATCACTGCAGATGGTGAATGCTGCCATGAAATTAAAAGATGCTTTCTCCTTGAAAGGAAAGTTATGACCAACCTAGACAGCATATTAAAAAGCAGAGACATTACTTTGCCAACAAAGATCCATCTAGTCAAGGCTATGGTTTTTCCAGTAGTCATGTATGGATGTGAGAGTTGGACTTTAAAGAAAGCTTAGCACTGAAGAATTGATGCTTTTGAACTGTAGTTTTGGAGAAAACTCTTGAGAGTCCCTTGGACTGCAAGGAGATCCAACCAGTCCATCCTAAAGGAAATCAGTCCTGAATATTTATTGGAAGGACTGATGCTGAAACTGAAACTACAATACTTTGGCCACCTGATGCAAAGAACTGACTCATTTGAAAAGACCCTGATGCTGGGAAAGATTGAAGGCTGGAGGAGAAGGGGATGACAGAGGATGAGATGGTTGGATGGCATCACCGACTCTATGGACATGTGTTTGAGTAAACTCTGGGAGTTGGTGATGGACAGGGAGGCCTGGTGTGCTGCAGTCCTTGGGGTTGCAGAGAGTCGGACATGACTGAGCGACTGAACTGAACTGTAAATCTCAGGCAAACAACTCAACTGTTTGCACTTTAATCTCTTCACCTATAAGACAAGGATGACAACAAATTGATTGAGTTAATGCTTGTCAAGTGATTAGTTTTTGTACCTCAAAAGCACTTAATAAATACTACTGTCCTTTGGGCAGGGCCCTATGTTGGCATTTCCTATAACTTTCAAGTGAATGTCTGATTTCAGAACCAGGTTGATGCTATGATCCTGATCTAAGTTTCCACTTCTGAAGGAAGTGGAATTGTTGGTTGCTCAATCATGTCTGACTTTTTGTGACCAGATGGACTGTAGCCCACCAGGCTCCTCTGTCCATAGATTTTCCACTTCTGAGTCATGTGCTGAATAATTTTGTGATGCTAGATAAAGAGTGTGAACCCCCACATACCTAACTGTCCATGTTTATAAAGTGTAGGTTAATTCAATGCTGCTTATAAGTATGTGGTAACCCACTCTTGTATTCTTGCCTGGAGAACCCCATGGACAGAAGAGACTGTCAGGCTACAGTCAGTGGGGATGCAAAGAACTAGACATGACTTAGCGACTGCACATCAACAGCAATAAAAGAAGTATCTTGGGAGAAAAATATAAGAACATTCCACTCCACTGGAAGAGTATACAGCAGGACCAGAAAGCATGTATAATAACTTATTAGTCAAAACTTTTCCAGAAGTAACATAAATGCCATGATATGAGACATCTTCTAATAGAAAACAGTTTTAAAGCATCTAAATCCCTGAGTTAGAAAAATAAGAAATGTTATTGAAACATAACTGATTCTTAGATTATGTCCACTCAGGTATTTTTATTTCAGCAGTCATTTATTAAAAACAGAACAAAAACTCACATTTTTATTTCTATGTTGCCCCACCTCACTCCAAAATGGACTTAAGACCAGTGAAAATCACGTGTTGAACACGTTCAGAAAATAGGAGTCACTAACGTTTATCATCTTGTGGCTTTCAGTATCACTACGTGGTGGAAAGAGGTCAATGATATTTTTCTTCCCAGTTTCATTTAAACATGTCTTTGACTGCCACATGTGTTATTCATTAAAATCCAATAGAAGCCAAGTAACAAACTCTGTTTTAAGGAAAAGTCACATGTTAGAGAGCTCAGGATTAAATATCCATATTGTTTATTATTAGATTATGAACTGACTATAAGTTGACAGTGAGTGGTCAGGTTATCATAGTCGTTGAAACCTCCAAAGAGGCCCTTCAGTCTGACCCCACCCGATCTTCAGTTCCTCTACTGTGTTTTGGTGACTTTTTTCCATAGTTACCTAACTGGGTCCTAAGGTAAGAGACCAACCTGTACTGCGGAAGGAGTTGTTTCCCTTAACACATGCCAGGACTTTAGTAAATGCTGGTAATGGTCAATGTACCTTTCATACAGAACATAATAAATTTGAAGACAGTTTAGGGGCTATATAAGAGCTGGTTTATAGTGCTACCTTTGATTAACTGTGGAAATTCAGACAATCACTTTATTTCCTTCAAACTCAGCTTTCCACCTATGGAGTGAAGAGGATGAGATATTTCTAAACTCTCCTTCCTAACTAACATGCAGTGTTAAGTAAGATACTAGGAATCAGCCTAACTGTAGAGACTTTAGTGGTTACATTACAGCTTGAATGGCTAATTCCTTAAAATTGAGTTTACTTAGTACATGTAACACAAAACCAAAATATTGGGGTTTTCATATATTCAGGTATCTGACACAGATATAACCAAGGCTTTTCCTTCTGTTTTGTATAATTAAAATTTTTTTAAAAATTTTGTATAATTTTATTGTCATGCCTTTTTAAATATGTTTCCCTTCTCCTGTTTTTCTTACTCTTGGAGTGAAGTGTATTTGTATTTTAATTTGTTTATTGCACAGTATGGAGACATATAATTGATTGAGAAGCAATATTCTTGTCAAGCAAATTGCTAAATCCCACTGTGCATTAATTTCAA